GATCTCAAGTGCTGCACAGCTCGCTGACAAGACAGAACAAGCAGGTTTAATTAGCAGGAGGTGAGAGCCAGCAGTGGGAAGGGAAACACACAGCAGATAAGATCGTGCGGTTGCGAGCAGCGCGCGCCGCTCACAGCGCGGCCTCCTTGGAAACGCGGCTCCCACACAGCTCATCTTGCACTTGCACTGCTACGTGCTGCTCGTGGTCTCTGCTGCAGGCACTCCAGTCACCCCAGCATCTGCTCGCCATAGAGGACATGGGTCAAAGCACTTCCTAGAAAGATCCTTGAAGGTGTCCCAGGACAGGGGAAACCACCAACTCGAGAAAAGAGGTGATGGTCTACAGGAAGTGATGAGAAGTGGGTGATATTGGAGAGTTTTAAGATCAATAGATCAAGTCTGGGGAGATGAAAAAGAATACCAGCAGAGCCCTTCAGCAGCACCCATTGCTCTCCAGAGGCCTCCAAGGAGCCAGGCCAGTGCCTGGTGGGGCAGTTCCTCAGGGTCTCCTGCCCTCTTCTGTCAGGGAGCAGCAAGGATTGGGCTGCTCCACAGAGGCAACAAATGAGAAGCCCAGTGTGACCCCAGCACACAAAGAATCCTCAAAAACCTGGGAGCCATCTCACAGCTTTTGAGCAGGAGACTGATAAAAGGGTCCCTTGGCATCCTTAGAAAAGGTAAGATTAACCAGGAGCAAGGACCCCAGTCAGGAGCAAGAGGAGACAGTCAGGACTGTAGGCAGTGCTGCCCCATAGGTGTGGGGTCAGGCCACCTGCAACTCAGATTTATGGTCCATCGAGAAGATGTGGCTGGAGACCAGCTTCTTACACTATAGACCCAGGGGCCATCTGGGAGACAAGACCAAGCAGAGGTTTACTTATATCAAAGCTCAGACAAGGACTAGAGACCCAGGACTGAGCTTAAATGATGCTCCTGGCCCAGGGGCGGGAGACCCACGGGGTGGTGCCCCAGGGGAGGCTGCTCAGGGCAATTAGGGCCAACCAGTGCCTTCTGCGTCCTGTTGAGAACTGGGGATGAGTCCCCTGAGTCCTCCTTGAGTCCTTTGGTTCTGGGGGTGGCATTTGGTAGGGATCTGGAGAGGTTCATGGGAGCTTCACTGCAGTCTCAGCTGGGGAAGGAAACATGAAGACGAGCACTCAGAGCCCTGTGAGCCCTGGGTCCCCCACATGGGTGTGGGGATGGTGACATTTACCAGCACTAATGGGCACCTCCAGATTGAGGTAACAGGTGGTTGCCAACCTATTTCCCCCTCCTTCCCAGCAGAACCCTGGGCATAGCCCCAGCAAGTTGGCCCCTCCTGCTTCTGTGTGCTCACACTGGTGACTGCAGGACTATGGAGGGACATGAATGAGCGCCTGCCCTCCCAGCAGAGTCCTTCAGCTCCTGGTTCCTCCTCTGCACCCATGGGCTTGATCTGACACGTCCTCGTGCAGCTCTGAGGAGGAGATATGCGTGGCTGTGCTGCCCACCCTTGCTCTTCCCCCATCCTGCCGCCCTCAGCAGCACATGGCCACTGGTGGGACTGTGCTGTGTAGCAGCACAAGGACAAACCCTGGTTCAAAACAACTGAGCAGAAAAGGGGATGTGACATGCTGGCTCTGCTGGGGTCACGGTGCAGCCCCAGACATGGTGGCCCAGCACAGTCTGATGGGGAAGCACCATCACATGCAGTGGGGCCGGGACCGGAGAGCCTGGCTGGGTGGCTGAGGGTGCCAGAGCCACCCTGACTGCACTGGGATGGGCACCTGGAGGGGACCTGCCCCCTGCCCTGCTCAGGGCATTTTGGGGTCTGAGAAGCCATAACATCTGGGGGTTTCTCAGTGTGCCCATCCTAGCGGTGTCACCCAGGAGTGAGGACAAACCAACCCGGGTCCTTTGGGACCAGAAGCTCACCCCAACAGGGAGAGGACACGCTCCCCAGGGGAACATGACAAAATACACTCAGTACGGAGGAAGAGGCACTCAAAATGGGCTGTTTTTTTTTTAAAGCAAAAATTAGAAAGTGGCAGTTACTGTTTTGCTGCTCTCAGCAAGAACCAAGTTTCCAAATGTCTCTGGCAGAGAACGTTGAATGGCTGTAACATTAGTAACCACAAAAGTGTTAGAGCAAAAACATTTGGTATTTATCTATTGTAGCACTTGAATGTTCATTTTTAGGAAGTGAACTGTCAAAACTTTTTCATGTTAAAAACTTGGGACTTGCTTTTCCTCTCCAGCACACAGCAAAATGAAAGCTGCTCAGGGCAGTCTGTGCTGCCTGCCCGCCCTTTTTTTTTTTTTTTTAGTCCTTTTTCATTTTTACTGTTTAAAACTTGCCTCCTTGTGACTATGACGATAGTTTTGATTTGATGGGTTTTTTCCTTCCACATCCCCTGCTAACAGTCACAAAGGCAAGGACCGTGGGAAAGCCAGAACAGAAAAGAGAAGCAAAACACCCCGGTCCTTTCTGGCCAACCCAGGGAGGGGTCAAAATGAAAGAAGAATACCCCAAACTCAATAAAAACACCCACAAACATACCCAAGACCAGCACAAGAAGTTTTACAAATTGTGGAAACTTTCCATTAACTTTTGCGCTCAAAAAAAGGGGAAAAAACTGTATCTTTAGTGGGTTTTTTTCTACTATTTTTAGCTACCCTACGGGCAGGAGATAGGGAGTCAAAGCCAAAGGGGAAAATGCTCCAGGGGGCTCAGGAGCTGATGTTTGGGGAACAGGGACCTTTCTCCTCCATCTCTAGAAGCTGGGTTGGTTATAGCCCCCCAGGGGGGATAAGCCCAGGGTGTTTGGCCAGAGGGAGATGGGGCCAGAGGAGGGTCCCTTTGCTCCATGTGGCCTTGCAACCATGGCTGGGGCTACCACAGGACAGGGCAGCTTTGCTGGGGAGCCACACAGGTGTGAAGGTGTTGATGGGCTGAGATTTGCCAGCTCCTCTGGAGCTATTTCCACCCTCCCTTCTCCCCACCCATGGTCCCGCCGAGGTTGCCCCAGGGCTCTGAACACAGTCCACAACAGAGTGTGAGCCCACGGTGCTCCCACTGCGGGATCTCCCAGCTGCCCCTCGCCCTGGGCACAGCCAGAGGCTCTTCCCCAGTTTTGCATTTCCCAGGAACAGAGTAAAAAAAAGTCCACAAGTCAATGCCAAGAGTTTTATTTCGCAGCCCCTCACCCCACTGCACCCAGCAAGCACCTGGCAGCACAGAGCCATCCAGGAGCCCCATCCAGCCATCCAGGAGCCCCATCTGCCTCCCACGGCACGTGACCATCACTGCCCAGCCCTTCCCTGGGCTTCACCATATGGATAATGAAGATGGCAGGGGGTGGAAATGGGAACTGGGGGCTTTGCCACCTACCTGGTTTCCCAGTGTGGCACTCGCTCTGACCTGACAAGCCCCTCTGCCACGCAGGTTGGCAGCGGGCCAGGTGTCCCCCTTCCTCATGGGGCCGGTCCCCAGGTGCCAGGGGGCTGGAGGGGGTGAGCAGACCATCTGCAGGTCAGTGGTGGTGCCCGTGGGGTGAGCGGGCACCCCCCGCAGCCTGTGCTCTGCTCCCAGGCCGTGCTCAGCTCCTGGCTCAGGCCGGCGGGCGCAGCGGGCGACGTTCTTCTCCGTAGCCCACAGTACACTCATCCATAAAGTAGGAAACACTACACCCTGCAGTGCTGTTTAGTAGTGCTTTCTACTTTATGGGTGACTGCACTGTCTCAGTCGGTGTCCAGCAGCCGCTCTCCTCCGGCGAGGTGCTTCATGTGGGGCCACCTCCCACAGCCCATGTGGCCCAGCTGTGGGGAGGCCACCTCCAGCCTCAGCATGGCCAGGGATGCAAGGTACAGGGCTGGTCTTGCCCCAGGGACAGAGCCTCTGCCAGCACCACCCCTCACCTCAGGGAGCCATGCTGAGCATGGGAGATCCAGCCTTGTGCTCCTTTGTCTGCTCTAAAACCCCATCCTGGGCTCAGGGTGACATCCTCACCTTGTCCCCATGGGTGAGACTCTCCCCCACACCCTCAAGTCCCATGCTAGCCACAAAAGACAACCTCACCTTGTCCCCAAAGTGGGGAAGCCACCTAATACCCCATCTTAGTCATAGGGGACAGCTTTGACTTGTCCCCCAAAGCAGGACCCCACCAAATCTCTGTCGTGGTCATAAGAAACCGCTTTGACTTGTCCCCAAAGCAGTGGACTCCACCTGAGACCCCATCCTGGTCTTAAAGAAACCAACTGCCTTGTCTCTGCTGGTGCGGACCCCACCTCAAAACCCCTAATTCCCTCTCAGACCTCATCCTGAGCACAGAGGGTGTATTTGCTTTGCCCCTATGGAGAGATCTCCACCTCACACCCCATCCCATTCACAGGGGACTTTCTTGCCTTGTCACCATGGGAGAAATCCCACCTTGAACTCTATTGTTGCCTTCCAAACCCCATCTTGGTCTCAGAGCCCCACCCCAGCCCAGATCCCAAGGGTGAAATCCCACCTCAGACTCCACCATTGTCCCTCAAATCCCATCTGCGTCACAAAGGCCCCCCTTGCCATGTTCCCATGAGGGGACCCCACCTACACAACACCACGGTCACAGAGGACTCCTTGCCTTGTTCCCATGGTGGGGAGCCCATGGTGAACTCTGTCCACATGAAGGGCACACCTTGCATTGCCTTGTCCCCATGGTGGAGACCTCGCCTAAACGCCACTGTAGTCACAGAGGACTCTTTTGCCTTGTCCCCATAATGGGGATCCTGTGGAAAACCCCACCACCCTTGAAATGTTCCCATAGGAGACCTTACCTCATCCCCACCTCCTTTACTGAAGACCCCCCCTGCCCCATACCCCTACCCTTGAGCCACTGGACATCCGTGGCCTGGGGCTCCCCGTGAGTCCCCTCATCTCCCCATCTGCCAGCTACAGGAAGACCCTTTCAATGCCCCCATTGCCCTTCAGGCCATGCTCCCACCCGAGGTCATGCAGACCCCAGCCCCACCAGCCTCACCTGCCTCACCAGCCTCTGCACCCGCTCGCTCCTGTCCCAGCTGCCATCAGAAAACCCCTCGGGTGGCACTTCTGCTTTCGGCACTTCCCGCTTCTGGTCCCCACCCATGCAGCACCTC